GCAGAGTGTTGCCAGCAGGTGGAGGGAGGTGATCCTGCCCCTCTCCTCAGCCCTGGGGAGGCCTCCCCTGGAGGACTGTGTCCACTTCTGGGCTCCCCAGGACAAGAGAGACCTGATAGTAGTGGAGAGAGTCGAGGGGAGGGCTGCAAAGATGATGAGGGGACTGGAGCATCTCTCCTCTGAAGAAAGGCTGAGGTAGCTGGGCCTGTTTAGCCCGGAGAAGAGAAGACTGAGAGGTGATCTCATCAATGTGTAGAAGTATGTGAAGGGGAGGTGTCGAGAAGATGAGGCCAGTCTCTTCTCCGTGGTGCCCAGCAACAGGACAAGAGGCAATGGGCAGAAACCGAAACCCAGGCAGTTCCATCTGAACCTGGGGAAAAACTCCTTTCCTGTGAGGGTGACAGAGCATTGGAAAAGGTTGCCCAGAGAGGTAGTGGAGTCTCCTTCACTGAAGATATTCAAAACCCATCTGGATGTGATCCTGGGCAATATGCTGTAGAGGCCCCTGCTTGAGCAGGGAGGTTGGACTAGATGATCTCCAGAGGTCCCTTCCAACCTCAACCATTCTGTGATTCTGTGATTCTGTGATAGGGGAAATGAATACCACTCATCACTGCTTCCACTGAGCATATGGGCCTGAAATAATCCCTTGAATGCAAATGGGGGTACTTAGGTCAGGAATATCTCAAGTTAGATCTCTGGTTTCAAAGAAGGTAAGACCTTGCATCTGCTAATTTTAAAAATGTGTAACCATTTTATTAAAAACAGTCTTTTGTTTAACAAAGACAGCAGAAGTTTTTACCTAGCAAGAATTGGTAAGAAAAAACACATATTGCGTTTCAGTGCAGAATAGATGCTCTCTATGGGGACTTGGAGATGACAACACCTTTCAAAGACCTCAGTCTGCCTCATGATCTCACTTGCCTAAGTTTAGATATTTAAACATCCTGTTGGAATTTGATATAGCCTCACATTATGCAGAGAAATTTTGGCATCCATCTGGAAGATTCCCATACACAGAGTGTCTTATGGACACTTGGGGACCAGGTCTGTGAAATGCCCTCAAGAGCGCACAAGACTCACAGCTATATAACAACCTTCTAAGGTTCTCAGAAATACCTCTCTCTCTCCCTCTCTCTCTCCAATAGATAAGCATGAATCTTAGAATCTCAGCTCAATTGCTTGACTTCCTTTAAAAACACCCTGTTCAGTCATTTTCTTGATTTCATTCAAAGGCAGGTACCTAAATATGTCTGAAGATTTGTCGCCGTGTCGCTTTATATACTATGATATATAGAAAAACATATGACTCTAGTTTCTAATTCAGTCTTCTCATTTTTTGTTTTGTACTTGAAAAGGTTTCAGGAATCTGATAAGATTTGCACTAGAAGTTTTGCATATTGATGTCTTCCCAATCTGCACAGTGATGGGTTCCACATTTCAGCGAGTGATGAATCCTCACATCATTATTTTCCTAAGGATAATTCATTTGGTCACAGGTAAATCTAGGTTCTAGTCTAACCACATTTTCATTTAAAAGGATATATAATTTCTTGGGCCATTGGATAGCTCTAGGAATAAAATAATAGTAGATTTGGGGGGGATTTTGGCAATATATATATTATTTTGCAACACAATATTCACAGCAATGTCTATTTTTTCATATATACATATGTATTCATACTATATATATATATTCCTAAATAATATTTGTAGTAACATTCTTGTTTTAAAAAGACTTTTAAAAGCAGACAGCCTCTATTCTCTCCATTCACTGGCCCAAGCCAGAATCAAACCATAGCATTACATAAAATCTTAAAACACTTCATTCATGCAGATTGCAGTGTTCACCTGGTTGATGAAGTAATTTAATCATCTGCACAGAGAAAGCCCTAGGCCAAGGCAATACTAAGGACTCGCTTAAACCTTCAATGCAGGATTATAAACAGAGCCAGAGACCTCCCATGACTGCTTTTCAGTGAGCTTCCTTCCTCTGTTTTGGAGCATCTTTTCAGCTCAGCTGGCCCTATCATGTTATCATGCTGAGAAAGCTCGGGTTCCTCTTTGTACCTCCCAGTGTAGAGTAGTAAGATGGAGGGGACAGTAAGTTTTGCAAAGGGCCATTGATATTATTGCTGTTAAAACTCAATGCGAAGGTTGTCTTTTTCATGACTGACTTTTTTTTTTTAACAAGCGCACCATATTTGAAAAGAAATCAACTTACTGTGGTGTGATTCATTGCCAAATGTCTCTATCTCAGTGAAAATATTATGGATCTCTGAAGTTAAATAGGCTGAATACTTTCTTTGTGGGTTCCAGCTTTAGAAAAGGAGCTAGCCTTTCTGCATGGTAAACAAGCCATTTCTACCTCTGCACCCACTGAACTCAGCATTTTCTTCCTCCCTGAGGTTAGTGCTGCATTCTCAGAGTAAGCAGGAGTGGTGAAGGGTGGCAGAGGCTGGCCTTCAGCTACAAAACTGTGCTTGTATATGCCCCTCTGGGCTTACAGAGATGTGATTCGATTATCGTCACAGGATGTCTTCCTCTTCAGTGCTTTGGCCTCATCAGTGTCTCATCAGTGGATTTGCCTTTACAGTGGGAGGATGATGTAGCTTACTGTAACTTAACTTCCTGGTCCAGAGCATTTTCTGATGTATTGATATTACCAGAGCAGAGCAGCTTCCTTTTTTTTACAGTCACGGATCTGACATTCCAGTTGCCTATAGGTTGTGCTAATGAGAACATCTGTTACAGATAAGATTTACATATATATTTCCTTGCAGGTCAGTTTAAAATCATTCCTCCTGACAATCCTGTCATTGGAGTCATTGGAAAAGGAGTCATTCTGCCCTGTCAGCTAAAAGCTAAGACAATCTCTGAGAGACTTTCTGTCCAGTGGATATTTACTACAAACTCTGAAAAAATTGATGTGAGCACCTATGATGGAAAAAACACACAAAATCCAGTTAGTGAAGACAAGAGATACCAGGGCAGGACAAATTTCTTCCATACCGAATTTAATAAGGGAAACGTATCTCTTTACCTGAAGAATGTCATGGTCTCTGACAAAGGGAAATACACCTGCAGTGTCTTTTTTGAGAACTGGTATGATGAAGTGGTTGTTGAACTGAACGTGGCAGGTGAGCACAATGGCAGGAATTTTCTGCTTCTTTCTCAGCCCAGTTGCGCAAGGCCAGTAAAGACTATGGGGCATTACTGTGTTGGATTAATCTCACCCACCCTTAGGCGTGTGAAAGCTTGGCATCTGTTATAAGCTGGGCTACCTGCATTGCCAGCAGACACTGGAATGTCACTGGTGTCTTTCTACCACCTCTTACAGAGGACAGTGTTGTCCAACTTTGTTTTACCAGCAGGTTTCCCGTCAGGGCAATGCTACTTCTTATTTTGTTGTTGTTCAAGTTGTTCCTGGAAATACTAAGGATCAGCCCAAAAATCTGCCTCAGTCGGGACTGCAGTAGGAAATTCCCTCAAATCTAGAAGCCTCTTTTTATCAAAAGCCATGATTTACTCCCCCACAAGACCATGGCCTCAGTAACCATCTGCCAGAATCTGTACTACCAAGGCAAAGAGGAGCTGCTCCAATACATATATTGCATATAAATGTCTCAGTTTTAATGTAACACAGGAAGAACTATTTAATCAAAGTTAAAGGTCCAATTTGGTTGAATTTACAGGCTATGTTTGCATATAAATCTAGGGCACACCTTCCCATCATGTACTGTTTGGTCAGGGAATATCTATTATTTTCTGGGGTTTTTTGAGTGTATTTGCTTGTCTTTCTATAGCTACAGGTGATGAATCTTCTATTTTCCTGAATGGTCATGTGGGTCAGGGTATTGGCCTCACCTGCAAGTCACAGGGATGGTTTCCAGAGCCCATAGTAGTATGGCTGGATAGCAAAGGAGACATGCGGAAGGAGGAAGTGACCATCCAAAACACGAAGACATCTTCAGGCCTTTTTGATGTCGTAAGTTCCATGAACCTAGAACCCAGATCTGACATGGAAGTCTCCTGCAGAATAATCAATGACTTACTCAATACAGCACGTGAGTCCCGAGTCCTGTTTTCAGGTGAGTGACTTCCAGGCTCAACTGTTGTCAAGACCAGCTGGTAGGCTGCTTTCCATTGTCTCTCCATTGACCCTAGAGTAATCATGGACACCCAGCCCAAGCACAAATGACTAATGTTTAGATGATAAGAAGTCCACTTTTATGCTTTAAATTTCTTCCTATATTCAAGAGGTATCTTAGCTATAAACTCTAGTGCAGAGCTCTCATATGCTGTCACCTGAAAGCACTATGCCAATATGGAGCGGGAAGGATTTAGAAGTGCTGATGGGGATAGCAAAACTCCTACATTGCCTCCAAGATACCCAGTAGAGTGACCTGAGAGACAGCAAGAGTATACTGATAGAAAATGCTGAATGTCTGCTTCCCTCCCTGCTTCTGTCCTCAGTATCACTGTGATTATGCTGAGCTTCAGGATGTGCCTCCCTCCAGTTTGGATTCCTTGTCTAGAAAGAAGACAACTTTAATTTAAAAGTGAAGATGGGGTAGTTACCTTTTTCTTCTGAAGCACAACTGAACATGGTTTTGCTTTACAAAAAACTATATCTAGTGGTTCAGTAGTTAAAATACTGGCTCCAGACATGGGCTGTTCACCATCTGTCCCTATAGGGAGGCAGTTTCTCTACCATGACTCTATCCTTAATGAATGTGGGTATATGACATGTAGGAGCACAATCTGATTGTTGACTGATAGGCATCTAGCAATATCTCTGATGCCCTGAGGTATCAGATCAGCACAGGGATGGTTTGGGATTGAGGGGAGATCTGCAGCCTTCAGGACTGACAGCTGGAGGACATGAAGGTTACCTTACAGCAAATAAAATGGCAGTAGACAACTAACTTTTGGCCACTGGAGCCTGTCTTAACTGTCTCACAATCAGTAAGTGAAAGTAACACTGTCTGTATTTTACAGATGTCTTCTTTCCTTCCGCTTCACCTTGGATGACTGCCTTCCTTGTAATTTTATTTCTTAATGTAGCTGTTATTGCTGCTATAGCTTACAAACTGAAGAGTAAGTATTTCCATTTATAACAGCTGATACGGAAGCTTTTCATCTATAATGCAAAACACAGTTAATGAAAACTTAAATAAACCTGTTAGCATCAGATTCAGAAAGAAGCATACAGGAACAAGAGGGAGGGGGAAGAAAAAGGGTACGTACACAGTTAAAAATGGAGTATGGATGGAGGTTGCATGTGTGTGAATCCTCAATCAGGAGATCACATCTATGAGAAGCCATTTTGTATGATCACAGACGTTCAAAAGCACAGGAAATGATTTTAGTTTTTAGAATAGTGTATTTTCGAAAAATTTCTCATTTTGAAATTATAATACAATGCTAAAAATAGTCCCTTTTCCTAAAATGAAGAAATAAATACATGTTTCTTTGCTTGCTTTTCCAGGTAATTCTAAAAGAACACTGGATGCAAGTGAGTAATAAGGGAGCTAAATATAAACTCAGATGAAAGTATTTTAGAAGAAAAGTTTATGCTCCTTGTTGCTGACTCAGAAGCAGTTTCTTGAATTATAGGAGCGATAATAATGAAAGCATGATCAGTATTCAGGTATTTCAATTTTGTTATGCACCAAGGTGAAGTGGGGATATTAGAACACCGATCAGCACCGAGTGCTGCCATTCCTACTTCAGCAAGGACAGTTACTTCCTTCACTCTTGGGCAGATCTAGTTGCCAACATACATAATAACTGGAGTAGTGTCCTGGTATGTGCACTCCAATATAGTTGTCTCCTCCTATTGCTCCAGAGCCAAGAGTAAACTGTGAGTTCACTCAACAATTCCTTGAGACAAAAATAGATAAATTTAAAAAAATGATTATACTGCTATGTCAACATCAGTTAACAAATCCAATACAAAGGTTTTATAAACTGCCTGAAGGCAGGAGGTGTTGCCTGTCTGCATGTGAAAATTCTCCTTGTCTCTAGCATTTGTCCAGGTTAGAGGATATAGCAGTGCTTATTCAATATACACAGTGCCAGTGTTGCTGTTCCAGTAGCACATTTTTCTTCAGGCAGTTCTAATGTCTTCTGGTACTGAAATATTGCTCTATTAAAATAAATTACCTTCTCTACAGAAATTTTGGGTTCATTTTTAACTGACATTTGAGATCCTTTGATTAGTTTCCCTTATTATTATTACTGTTTTATTGTATTGTTAGTGGAAGTTTAAGGGAGTAAATAATATTGCAATATGATTATTTTTATTTTCAGAACAAAACAAGAAGAAGATGGAAACAGGTAAATATGCTTTGAAAACTGTGAGGGTACCCCGAAAACAAAAATTCAAAGATTCTACTTTAGGGCATTTTGATTTCTTTGACATGAATTTCAAGAGTATCGGTCCTTATTTATACAAAGAATTTAGTCACAATTAGCCACATTATTCTTAATAACAACCCCTCCACAGATAGTCCAAAGGAGACTTACTCACTTAGGGTAATCCTGTGATGCTTTCAAGATAAGGAACATAGCAGCAAGAGACCACAAAG